CAAAGGGATGGATGGGCGAATGGGCAGACAGACAGATAGACAGACAGACAGATGGACAGACAGACAGGAGGGAGAGGGCTTTGGTACTCTAACTGTCTTACTGTGGAAACGCAGTGACTTCAGCAACTTTCCTGAATCACTAATTAATTTCTCCTCATCTTCGTATCTTAATTGCAAAAGTCAGTTAATTGCCATTTTTAAAATAACACCAGGACACCATCGACCTTGATCAGTCATAGATAGTACAATGTGTTAATCAGACATTGATATCGGCAGCCTCTATGTTGACAAAAGCCCTCGACACTATGAACACAGCAGCGTACCTCAGTCCTCTTCCCATACGTCAAGCTCAGTGGACAGAGACTGAAGAGAAAACGGATAATGGCGGTTTGTCTTTTCTTTGTTAACAAGATTTACTTCCTGGTCGCTGAGCTCCCGGTCATTGCTATCCTCTACCTCTGCGGCGGCCAGTTCATAGCCATCAGGGTTCATGGATGCCAGGATGTGGATGCGGGTTGTGTTGATGATGGTCTGAATTCTCTGGTTGCCCAGAATGTACTCTGAGCACAGGTACTGAGCCAGGTAGATGAGCAGCTGACGGCCCACTACCTCGTTGCCGTGCATGTTGCCCACCAATTTGATCTCTGGCTCCGCTATGGTTCACAGAACAGAACGCAACATGATTATAGCTGTGTGCATTCATTTTGGCAAAACACAATATTTACTTACTAACCCTTAAGTAGTGGTTGTATCACATCTAGCAGACATTCATCAATCTATCCATCCATATACAACTTATCCTTTGAGGGTCATGAGGGGGTGGAGCTTGGACAGGGCCAACATAGAGACAAGTAAGCATTGTCAAGTAACCACAGTAACCTACTGTCCAATTAGAGTCTCCAATTAACTAAACCCCAATCTGCATGTCTTTGGATTTTGGGAGGAAGCTGAAGAAAATCCATGCAGACAATAGAAGAACATGCAGAGTCCACACAGACAGGCCCAGGATTCAAACCATCTCAATGTCATTTGCAGGAGTGTTTCTGGCTACCTGGTGAATGTAAGACAAACATTTACTCTGCTGTTTGGTCTCCATCAGCTGCTCTTTAGCTGCTTCTTTCTCCACCATGTTCATCAGCAGGTCAACAACGATGTATGCCTATGCCCCTTGGTGAGAAGTAAGGCAGAAGCAATGAGCTGTGCAGATCAGCTCAGCTCTACTGAGGTTTACTGTATATTTCAGCTCATTATTTTAGTTTTAGTTTCACCTAAACTACTGTTTTGGTTCACTCCCACCATGTTATTTCCAGCACAGAGCTGTATTTATGGATAAAGCGACTGTCTTCCAACTGCCTAGTGCCAAAGGGAGATCATGAACGAGCATTAGTTAAAGAGACTAGATGAAAGCAACATGGAGAGTCAATATGGGACCTCTGAAAAATGTCTGCAATGTTTGCCTTTCACATAAGAACATGATGTATATATTCTGCTGTAGAGATCCCATGTTTTTGTTGACAGCACCTAAACACTGGCAATTCAACAGAAGCAAATAAATGCAGGGTGGGTCAACCAGAAACTGTTTGCTGACACTTTCACCACAACCACTATTCAAGTCATGTCAATATCAGGTTCAAATCTTATCTCCAAACATGTAGATGGAAAATGAAGAGGATATATTTTCCATGGCTTTTGAAACACAACAAAGGGAACTGAACGGAGAGTGTATCACAAGCTGCAGTTTCTTACTCACTTAGCTCGTGCTGTCCTGGGTTGTTGGTGAACTCGATAACCAGCAGATCCCTGCCCTCAGTGCTGCGGCCGAGGCTGTAAACATGGGAGATATGTGAACACTTGGCTGCGGTTCTCTTCAGTAAGCTGTACATCTGGGAATTGGAGGTGTAGGTGAACTGGATGATGGTGCTGGGTTGTTCTGGAGAGAGGCTGGACATTGCTTGTCTGGCTGGAGGAGGGATACCAGAGTTTAGAGAAGGAAAGGAGAGGTAGGCTTGTTTCACTGGATGTGCAATAAGTGCAAAAGACAGTGTGAGCTTCACCTCTCATTCCTGCCAGCGGGTCGAAGCAGCCCTCTTGTTCGCTGGCGAAGAAGCGGTCACAGTCGAGAAAGTAGGGCCAGGCCATATCGATGGACTCAAATGCGTGGCTGCAGTCCTTCCTCAAGGTCTCGCACGTGCTGCGGCATGGCTTGATCATCTTGTCGTTCCGGCAGGGCGAGGCGATCACTGCACAGCCTACGAGACGTATCTCAGGAGAGCACTCGCCATTGAGCAGGCCGTGGATGACACTGAGGAGGAGATACTCTGCTCCTGATTCAGCATCCAGACGAGTCCGGTGGCCAAGGATGTTCGGGAATATGGTTCTGGAGCAGCAGTGTGTAAATACAACCCTCACAATCAGATGTCATTGAGCTCATAAAGAAAATGCAGATCAATAGAGTAACTGGAATGGATTAAAATGTGAGGTTAATGTTTTAGACGCCACTGCTCTCTTTGCATCAACCTCTATGACCCACCTGGAGTATTCCAGATCATTGCAGTAGCCCAGGTTTACCTCTGTACATGTGGCTGTGGGAAGAGAAAAGAGGTGGGGGAGCTGGTAACTCAACTTTTGGAAAAGGGAAAGGTATTCACTTAACTTACACTTTACTCAGTGAAACAGCTGGAAGTTACTGTTGGATCTAGGACAATTTCTGAAAACAGCAGAGTATCTTTAGAGCAAGTACTGAATACAAAAATCTGTCATATCTGGCATATCATGAGCTATTGTAAAACTACTAGATCTGAGTGATGTAGCACCTGGTGTTTAAAAATGTGGAAATTCTGTTGCCCTGCAGTTAGAGCTGAGACGCTGCAGCTGCACCCCCCCTCACACTGGCTGTCTGGAGAGGAGGCCTGTTTCATCTTGCAGCAGCACTTGGTATTTCAAACACTTTTTCTTCTTCCAGCCCTGAAGGTCAGGTCACGGCCTGGAAATGTAGCTATGGGGGCACTCACGTAACATTTTAGACAGCTGCATAAAAGGTAAAAAGTCTTCCACTTACGTTTTTCCTCATGAACGTTGCTGTTGCATCTTCCTATGAAAGAGAAGCCAAACGACATGAGAACACACCAACAGGCCACGCATGCAACGCTAGGAGGCGCCATCTTCACGAGCTGTGGACACGTCAAGGATCCTGGACTGTGCTTTTATTGTAAACGGCTCATCTCCAAGCTGATGTGAAGCGTGGGGAAAACATCCGCTGACAATGTGTCAGCAACAGTGTCAGCAATAATGTGTCGACTCTTCAAGCAGAGCACACGGGCCTCTGCAGAATCTCACCGTGGATGAGATCGGATAGACGTGTATTAAAGCGTTAAGTTTAATTCAAAGTGAGCGTTGTACAGCCAAAAATGTACAAAGGGAAACGATCAACTGTTTTTAGCTGATCTAGAACTGTTCCTCTTTGAGTCGTACATGTCCTCTTCCAAATACCCACACTTTACGCATGACGCGTCAGCCTGGTGGCTTTGCTGTGGTTCAGTGCGCAAATTTCTATGAGCAGGTTATTTAAAGCTGAAGTCGGCTTACCCAAAAACTCGTCCCCGGGTTGACAGTCCTGCTGCTGCGGGGCGCACCAGCAGCCCCTCGTCCAAGAGAGGAACAGCACCAAAAGTCCTAAATGCATGTTGCAGGACGGGCAATGATCGAGCTGTTGACAGCGGCGGTGTGTGATGTGGCAGTGCGAGTTTGAAGCTGCTACTTTCCCGTCCTGATAATTACCACCTACACATCACGGAGACATCCTCCTTCCTTTGTCTGCGCGGAGCATCCCTGACCCGAGAAAAAGAAAAGAGAAAAAAGAGCGGCGCGCCAGGATTATTGCGCACTGCGTTACGAGCGAGCGCCGATCAAATTTCACTGCACATAGCTTGTTTGTGAGAGTGTGTGCGTGCGTGCATGTGTGTGTGTGTGTGTGTTGAGGAGGTGGGGGTGTTGCACGAGGGTGAAACGTGGCTCGTGGGGGTAGGAGCAAGAAGTTCATGCTTGTATTGTTTAACTTAAACATTTTCACCAATTAAATGGAAGAATAGATTTGTGCGCTATTAGTGGGTCATCAAACCTGATCCCTTCACCTTTGTATTTTTATAGCAATCGTATTATTAGTCAACTTCAGGGATTGAGTCTACAGCAGTGGTTCCCAACACAGGGTCAGGACCTTACAGAGGGTCCAGAGATAAATGTGAGGGGTCAGCAGATGATTTAAAGTAACAATAGACACTTTGTGTTGATTTTACAATGTAAGAGCCACTTAGGTTCAAGTTTGGTGAAATCTGCTATATGACATGATACGCACAGGCTAATATTACTTGTCGACTAGTCACTGTATGATTGAATTGTGGACTATGCTTAGTCACATTTCTATTGTTGTTTTAATGTGTTGGAATGCGTTAATATTGTTAGTGCTTACAACAGGTGATGTCAAAACAAGAGAATCTGCTGACTAAGTGGCCTATAGGAGCTTGGATCATTGGAAAAGGCTACAGTGTGATGGCAATGAATGATGAAATTGGCCCTATAAGCCTCACTTATACTGTGCAATTGTGTAATTTGGCACAAAATTTCACTGAAAGATGAAGGATCCATTTACGGCTCCAAGGAAATATGTCTACCATTAAGCAACCAAGAGCAAAGTAATAGCTAGGAAATGTGTTTTCTAACTTTCCTTTTTTTTAATTTCACCTCAAATATACTACAAATGAAATACATCACTTTAACTGTTCACACTTTGTGTAGGTGAACATGAGCTGATTAGGGTCCATGTAGCAAAACAGTGGAAACCACTGTTTCGTCACAACTGTCAGATATACAGTATATAACAGATACAGCATCATTATATTTTCAGTCATCTAATGATGTTTACTCTTTACTCATACATCAGACTCAGTGTAGCTGTGGCAGTGGAGTTTATTATTGAATCTGTGTTTTTTGCTATAACATCCACACACACTTTGTTTTGCACTTTACGTGTTTAAAATGGCACAATCTTTAATTTAGCATCAACACAGTTATCAGAATTTTTTTTTTCAGTTTTCACTGAAACATGAAGACAACTTCCTGACATATTCAAGATCAATACAAAACACATTTACATCGATGGTACAGTGCTGTGGTTTTCATGTGATGTATCCTTGGCAATGCCTCAGCAGGCAAAGTGATAAGCCCTGTGGAAACAACACTCTGAGAAGGGCCTTTGGCAAACATCAGAGGTCTTACTGACTACACTTCTCCCACTGTCTACACTGGCTTGAACAGTCCCATGGTTCAAGCCCTCTGGTGAAAGTGTCCTTGAGCAAGGCACTGACACCTTTCCATCGGCAGGGCAGCTACTTTCTAAAGTGCCTGACCTCTGAACCTTCCTGCAGAAGGTGATGAAGGGAATTACTCACTTAAAAACTAGCACATCGAGCTCAGGTAATCCTGGCAATGCAGGTATCGTCTGCAGTGTCCAAGGTGCTGCTAATGCTGTGGGCAGACAGCGAGTAACGATCTTTTCTCAGAACCCGGCTGATGACACTGACCAGGACCTTCCTGTACTGATGCCGCAGCAGACAGTAGACAAATGGATCACTGGAGGCCTTGGCATAGGACAGACATTTAGTGGCGATGCCTATGTACAGAGGGATGTGCACGGAGGGCAACAACTCCACCAACCTGCAGGAGAAATACAAGCAGCATAAGTTAATCCTGAATCCTAATCATGGAAGCCCTTTTTTCTTATGGCATCAAAAAGCCCACAATGCAATACTATGAGTTACCATCTCATCTCCTTATTGAGATATAGTCATATTCCATGATGCTGTAAATAACTCAGGCATAGTCTTCAGTGTGGACAAATATCTCCATAGAAGAACAGTATAA